TTAATTATTAATAATTATAATTAATAGTTAGATTTAAAAATATACTTTATAATAGATTTAGCTTAATATTATTTTAGTCTTTTAGGTAAGGTAAAAAAAGAAGGCCAATATAGCTGCTAAAAGTTAGTATTTATATTAGTTAATTAAGGCAGTAATTATACTATTAAGGCAAATAAACTTTATAAAATTTCTAACCTTTAAGATATAGGCCTATTATAAAGGCCTTATTATTTAAGCCTTTATATATAAAGTTAAAAGCTTAATAGCCTTATAAGGCTTATAATAAGGAAAAAAAAATTTTTAAGTATTATTAATTTACTATAATAGAATTTTTATATATATTAAAAAAGTTCTAAAAGTAAAAAGTAATAATAAATACTTAAAAGATAAGAATTATTTATTATAAAAATAACTATTTTAATATATTAAAGCTTTTACCTTACTTTTATTAATTTTAGTATAGGTAAAGACTTTTTAGCCTAACCTCTATACTTAAATATCTATTTCTTAACTATCTAGCTTTTTTAGCTTTTTATTACCTAGTAACCTTACAGCCGCCTATCTCTTTACTCAATCAACACCTCAGCACAATGTCCATTCCAAACGAAGCGCTACAGAAGGTATGGTCTCTCTTGAAACCCAAGTTCTCCCGCCCTCCTTCAGGGAACAGCATTTTACTAGGCCTCGGCCCAACTGACACTCAGCATATAGCTGGTGCGAGAGATCGAAAGCCAGGCGCTGGTTGCCCAGCAGCAGATTGGCCTAGCCAGGACGCAAATGACTTCGAAACAACGAGAGCAACGTCTCGTCAAGCTCACACTGAGCGAAATGGCCAGTCTTCCTCAAGACGCTGTCGTCTACGAGGGTGTCGGTAAGATGTGAGTGCCTCTCCTATCGAAGCTCAATCATCCATCCCTCTCGTCTTTTTCACATCGACCCCGCATCTCCTCGAACCAAGCTTGGTCTCTAACGCATGGCCGTTTTGGCGCCTCTTTATAGGTTCGTCTCGCTCCCGGTGGATTCACTTCGCGAAAAGCTTGAGGGCCAGACACAGACTCTGGAGGGAGAGGTGGACAAACTGAGCCAGCGTCTGCTTTATTTGGAAACAACACACAAGAATAGCCGCGAGCATATCGAGCAGATGCTCCGAGCCAAGTAGACTAAGCGCTGAGTGATACGCGCGATCAATCTGACTTTCCTCTATTTCTGAGGGTTGTTCTTTTAAACGCTGTCCAGTCATCGCTGCCGTTCAAACGTGCGACAGAAATATCCCTATGTTTCAACAGGCGCCAGGCCTCTTTCTTTCCAGCCCTACAGCTGCGCCGCGCATTTAACAGACCATGTGCACACCAACACAAAAGCCGATGTGACCGCCGAGACTCTGCTTACGGTGGGCTTGCCTTTAGTCTGGGTCGAGATCGTCGCTGTGACTGTAAGACGCGAAGCATGGCGCCAGTCCCGATCAGGAGGGTCACTTTGATAGCTGAACCAAGCGACGAATCTCCTGGCTTCAACTAGGGATGCTGTCGATAACCAGGGCACCGATCATCATGGCAGCTCAGTAGTATATTCCGGAGCATGATGGGGCATTCCCTTCGATCTCTTTGTCTTCTAAAGGTCTCACCGACGTTTGCCTGCTGCAACCCACCTCAAGCTGACAGCGTCGTGCGACCCTGATTTCTCACCAGTATCACCGATTTGTGAGCAAACACCGGGACGGACAAGGGACCTTGTTCAATTCAGACAGTAATTAATTTAGCCCCCACCAAGTTTCAGTTCAGCGCCCCGCCCCCTCCCAGAGTCCAGCCCTACAACCAACATGGAGTGCTAAGGTCGGCACGGAACCGCGGTCCCCTCCGAGGGACGGATGGTCCAAATGTTCTGTGGGCTGTGTTCCTTCTTATTTATTCATGGGACCGCTGCCACTCAGTCCTCTTTGTCCCCTCTCTCGTCTGACTCTCCCCTCTGTTGCAAATCGGGTGACTACTCCAGCCTGTTGTCTTCCAGCAGCGCCACAGCCTATACGATCACATTCGATATCATCATCTCCGAATCGCTGTTTCTTGCTCATTTGGTCCTGGTTATCTACCAAGATGAGCCGAAGTAGCTATAGTTACGATGATGAGGATGACTACGACATCCGCTACCAGAAGCGTGGGCCTTCGCCTGGCATCCGGTATGTTGCGAACCCGCAACGTACTCAAAACTATTACGATGCACCTCCGGGGCCCAGTTACATTGGAGCTGACCGCCTGAACATCACAACCATGCACCGTTCTCGGTCTCGGTCTCGTACTGGTGAGCTATCTCGGACTCGAGAGCGTCGCGCCAGCAGTCCCCGGGCCCCTGTTCCTGTAATTATCAACAAAATATACAATGACCTCTCCTCCGACGATGAAGATACTCGCCGCAAACAAGTTGCGCGGTCTTCGCGGCGGCGGCGCTCTCGGTCTCGCTCCCGGTCGTCCTCATCCCGATCTCGATCATCTTCTTATATGACTCGAGAAGAATGGGAGGCTGAGAAAACTCGCAAGGAGCTTGAAGATCTTCGCCTCAAAACAGCACGGGAGAAGGAGGAGCGAAGACTTGTCAAGCAATACCGTGACGAGTGGGAGGCTGAGCAAGCACGTAAAGATCTTGAGAAAAATCGGCTTGCTAGCTCGCGCGAGAGAGACGAGCGGCAACGCGAGAAGGATGAGCGACAGCTTGTCAAAGGATATCGTGAGGAATGGGAGGCGGAACAATCACGTAAGGAGCTTGAAAAGATGCATCTTGCTCATGCGCGCGATGACGAAGAGCGCCGTCGATTGAGGGAGTTCAAGGAGGAAGAAGAGCTCAAGCAGGCCAAGCGCGAGCTCGAAAAGATAAAGGGCCGTAAAGCGCGCGCTGATGAGGAAGAACGCATCAAGAAGGAGATTGAGTTGAGGCGCCTGAAAGAAGAAGACGCCGCCACAGAAGAGAGACAGCGCCGCGAGAAAGAGGCAAATTCTGCTGTCGAGGATTACAAGAGAAGGGAGCTTGAGCGCGCTGCCAAGGAGAAGAAGCTCAAGGACCAGAAGGAGAAAGAAGCAGCTGAAGCAGTTGAGCGTTACAAGCAGGCAGAGAAGGATCGCATAGCAAAGGAAAAGGCCGACAGAGAAGCCAAAGACCGGGAATACCAGGACCGCTTGAAACAAGACCTCGCCAAGTCAGGACTCGATGATAAGACCATCGAGGCCATCTTGAAGAAGGAAAAGATCAAGAAGGCGCAGCCTCAACACCCACAGCCTCTACCACATCACGCGATGGCTGGTCCAGCTCACCATTATACCCCTATGCCTGTCCCAGTCAACCAAATCGCCACAATTCCTCCTCCACCCCCTGCCGGCCAAGTTGCTCGACCAACGTATACACGCATGTCCCGCCGACATCTGTCAATCGAGTCGTTGCGCGAATTCGGTGTCGAATTCGACTTTGATACTGTATGTAGCAGCCTTTGCTGAAACTTTCATTGATTGCATAGTACCGAGCTAACTCTATTGCCAGGATCCTGACTATCTACTCATTCGACGCTGGGTTCCGGAATGGGAGCAAGACCGACTGTGGAAGCACACAAAGCTGATCCGGGAGAAGCGCACCAAGATGCTTATGGTCGAGGAAAAGCGGCACGGCAGAGAAGAGCCAGACTTTGAATGGGTTCGCAAGAAGGACAAGGATAAGCATAGCCGCCGAAGGAGCAAGTCACCAGGATTGTTGATGTATTTGGCTGGCGCGCGGCCGGCTTAGGCTCAATGGGTGATGGGATGTAGGTTGCGAGCGAGATCTTTTTCCATTAAACCAGCTAAGAAGTGGCCCTCTAGTTCTTATCATTTGAGACGAGTTGTTGTTACAGTTGTTGTACACGATTTACAGTTACCTTGCTCCAGCTCGGCGAATCAGCTCCTCGTAAACCGTCCAGGCCAATGCCGAACTCATGGCCTTGCGGCTCATTCGCAACGCCAAGCCATCCCATAGTGACCGGATACCCTCATGTGTTACCATTTTATACCAAGCGTGCCATATATTCTTGTATTCCAGTGGCTGTAATTGAATCCGTGTTTTGACCGCATCAAATGGGTTCGAAACAATGGAGCATGCTGCACCGGCAAACATAGCGGAAGTGAAGTTGACAGAGCTAGCCAGAGTTGCTTGCATTCTGGTTGGGCTTTCGCCTGATGCAACCGGCTTAGACGCCAGTGATCCAAGGCGCGATTTCAGCATCTCATAGAATAGGACGTACATGCCAGCATATGGTGCATCCCGAAACGCCGTGGCACCGAATCCAGAGAAGAAGCCACGCCAGCCCTGAGTACGGCGTATGTCATTCGCAGCTGACATGATGGAGGGATAAGAATATAGACTGGATTCAAAGCGAACCTTGATCACGGTGAGAGGCATAAGGACAAAGCCAGCAAACGTTCTTGCAACTGCGCCCGAGATAAGGTTGCCCGAGTTCGTTAATGAGGGGAGGACTGATGAGCGGCCCTGGGTCTGTAGCCGCCGACCCAGAATACCTGTCTGGTGTGCATGCTGGCGAATCGCATTGAGTGACGTGAAGTAGAGAGCTGAGCCGAAGCCCGTCCGTAGCGCTGAAGGGACGGTACCTCGCCATAGTGACTTTACAAGGCTTTGGGATTGCCTCAAATCACGTAGGGTAGCGCTTAAGGACGAACTACCAGACTGCTGTACCCGCGTTTTGAGGAGATCCAAAGGTTGTAGGAGAACGGCTGAAGTGACGCCTGAACCAAGGCCAGATATAAAATGCCGGGCTATTCAGTTGTGTCAGACGGCGAATATTGAATGGAGCTGACGGAGGCTGAACCACACAGACTCCGTTATGTGGAATTGACCAAGAAAGCATACCTGAATTGGCTGGCCGAGAGGTTCGGGGCTCGGTCATTGGTAAGGACACAACAGCACCATTGTGTTGAGTCGGGGAACCAGCAATTGAGATACCCATGGCTAGTCACAGACTTGAGCCACCGGGCATGTCGGGGAGATAGAATGGGTGACGTGACGAGATAAAATCACACTGAAAGCCTGGACCCCGCTGCGTGAATCGGCCCCGCTTTGATGCATCTTGCACGTGTTGGTAAAGAATGGCCCAAGTCCGTAGGAGACATGGATCAGTTCGCGCCAACGCCATTGGCATGGTTACCCCGATAATCGCCTATCACAGACTCAAGACGGCCAGCCAGAAGACGGTGGCGTTTGACAAGCTCAACCCATTCTTTTATACCAATCGAAGCAAAAAGCATGCCGAAATCAGCCCCCAGCCTCCCCAGACTGCCCGCGCAATAGAGTACCTGCGTCAAAATGCTCTCCCTCGATGTCTGGTCTTTGACGGTTGGCAGATAGATTCGCAACGTTTCGACAAGCATCTCTACCATATGTAGGGGAAAGTCAGCCATTGGGGACGGCAGGGCTCCCAAAGGATCAGTTTCGTCGTTCCCGTGCGATGCGAGGCTCGAATTTATGCTCTTAAACACAGAGACGATGCTAAAGCTCTGTTCGCGAAATATCTCGATAAATCGTTTCAGGTACCGCTCTGTCTGCTGGCCGCCTGACCACGTGCTGGTAGCTTTATCCTTTCGAAGTCGTTCCTCATCTGCCAAGTCTCTTAGAGGTTCCAATGCTTCCAGTGTTGTCAAGAGCGTAGACAAACGGCACACCAAGAAGATGGCCGGGAGTGCGTCTTCAGTTGACGCATCAGTCACCAGATCCGGGACGATTCGTTTTAGCCAGCCCATCGTTCGAACGGCAGCGGCGAGCTTGAGATTGGGTGCTTTGAGCGTCCCAATGAGATCTGCAGCCATCTGCCTAATGGCAGCATCCGCCTCGTCTAGTACCGAAGTGACAAGCGGTGAGTCTGGGTAGAGGGAAGCAAGTCGTCGGACGTGCGCGTAAAGCTCAAGCGTAGAGGAATGATTGACCGGCGCAGTCGAGACAGCGGACGAAAGAAGGAGAGGCATTTCCATGACATCAACAAGACGTTCCGAGTTTCGAAGTAGAAGAAGTGCCTGCTTTCTCCGCGCCAGTAACTTGCTCTCGCTGGCCTTGCCAAAAGCCGACGAGAAGTGTTCTGCTTGCGCATCTAGTCGGGGCACTGCCTGGACAAGGTCTGAGGCTCGCTGTGCCAGAGTCGGTAGGGACGTTCGTAGCGAAGCATGGCTCGCGGCTGATTCAACGACGGGTTTGTGGGATCTCTTTGAAAGCGCTTGTACGGCAAGCAGTAGGGAGTGGGAGGTCTGAGATAAGACTTGAGGCTCGGATGATTGAAGGGAGCTAGATTCTTGTTCGGCAAGATAGGCCAGGTACTCTAAGGCAGATGGGTCGTTCGCCTGATCGGGCGCCAGCAGGTCTCTTAGAGCTTCCGCCATGGTGGTCTGAAGAGTCGTGTGCGGTTGGTGCGAGACGATGCGACACGAGATAATGTACTTGAGGTGTCAAATCGTCCAGCTTCAGTCGATTGTAGAAAGGGGGGTATATTAGGACAGCAACAACTGCAAGTCTGATCATGAGAATGGAGAAATGGGATTCAAACGAAGTATCAATCTTCCAAGCTCCAGCACAGACACGCCCGTGACTGTATGCTCGTGGACGATCTAGTTAGTGTTCTAAATGAGTGAGGTGGCAGCTGGCCTTGGCTACGGAGATCTGGTGGGGGGAGGATGATGGCACTGCCAACATCAGGTACTCGGCGGCCCCTGTTAGATCGTATTACCTAAGGCCTCAACGTCCAGCCAATAACCCAACCTAAGCCTATCAGAAAGCCAGGACTGCGCTGGCAGGGTACGAATAACGGATTAAGCTCCGAAGACAGATCAAAATGCGACCATCCAGACCCTTACCCGTGCTGTTCCCACGTGAGCTTCCCCAACAGACGTGACCAGGCGAATGAATATCAAGTTTCCTACTTGAGGTATCCTTTCGTTACGCCGCCTTGCCTCGGCTCATTTAAAGTCTTTGCTCCTCCGCATTCTTTTGTTCCCAGCCCTTTCTTTCTGGATCTTCTTGCTGGGTTCTCACGAGCACAAGCCCCAACCGTTTTGTAACTCCAATAACTCCAATTCATCCCGCCAGCATGAAAGACCCATTTCTTTTGCAGCCTTCGCCCTGGCTATCAGAAAAGACACAACCCTGGGCCGACTATTTCGACCTGCCTACTCTCCCGCTGCACATACACGAAGTTCTGGCCGCAGCGTTGTTATACTCGGTCATCTTCTGGCCTATATCGCCATGGATCTCAAACCTTCTGGCCCCGAAGCACTACTCCAAACTGCCTCGCAAGCGACGGCTCAACTGGGACGCCCACGTCGTTTCCATGGTTCAGAGCTGCCTAATCAATACCCTAGCTATATGGGTAATGTTCGTCGATACTGAGATGAGCAACATGGAATGGGAGGAGCGTATTTGGGGTTATACTGGTGGTGCTGGATTCATCCAAGCGCTTGCGGCTGGATACTTCCTCTGGGATTTAGTAGTCACCAGCATTAACCTCGATGTATTTGGCTTGGGAACCTTGGCACACGCAATCGCCGCATTACTTGTCTACTCACTCGGTTTCGTAAGTTAACCACGATGGTATGCCCCCTCTATCTCTACTAATCGGCCTTCAACAGCGTCCATTTCTCAACCACTACGCCTGTGTCTTCATCCTCTGGGAGTTATCCACACCTTTCCTCAATGTTCACTGGTTTATGGATAAAATTAACATGACTGGTACGCGCGCGCAACTATACAACGGTGTCATGCTTCTTTTCACATTCTTCTCCTGCCGGCTTATTTACGGAACTTATTCATCCTTCCGTGTTTACCGCGACGTGTGGTCCGCCATCAATGTTAAACCCGACATGAAGGCACTCAATTTGCCAACCATGTCATTTGCGCACCCAGACTCCACGGTACCCATGTGGATTGGCATAGCCTATTTGGCCAGCAACGTCACGCTCAACAGTCTCAATTTTTACTGGTTCTTCATGATGATTCGCGCCGTACGTAAGCGGTTTGTGCCTGCGGCTGATTCGGAGGAAAAGGTTCAAGAGAGCCCAGTGACTGAGGCTGAGATTGATCTGTCCTCCGTCTCAACAGGTTTATCCAAGCCCACTGGCGGTCGTCGCCGCAAGGCCTGATCGAGTCCGGAAAGCCAGCAGGTCTGGGTGCCTCATATCCTTAGACGTTTTCAGGAAGCGCTTCTGGTTGGTCGGATTTGTGACGACTGAGAGCTCGCCTTCGCAAACATTCAAGACTGCCCCTATTGCTTACCAAACAAGGATGCTCTCGAGTTTCAATAACTTTAAACCATGAATACAACTCTATGGAACGGAAGAACCACTCGATATTTTTCTTCCGTCTGATCATGTTATCCCTGTGGCCCCCTTATTTTTCTCCGATTCTATTGCCTTTTTGTATTCCACGTTGCCAGTTTGCAACGAGACGTTGCCTCGTTAATGATTTACGTTCTTTTACGACATTGCATAGACTTATAGACGAGACCATTAGAAGAGACTGATCTGGCTTGTCCAGGAACAGTCATAAATATACTATTATTATTCCACACTTGACTCCCAGGTTGGTTCACCTGACAAAGCCGGCATATACATACAAGATGTGAAGAAAGATGTCCAGAGTATTTGCAAACAAGACGAAACGGCGCGTGATGACGGCCAGTTTAACAAGCTTTTCAAGAATTAAAAACCAAAGGGGTTCTGGGGGGCTGTAGAGAACATTAGCATTATACATATACAGCCGAACTCGGTTCAACGTACTCGCTTGCGCCAGGTTAGCCCTACGCCCTGTTGCCTGAGGCGCTAGTTTCTTGGTCTCATTTGTCACGCCAAATCGCACCGGAGGAGGTGGACCAGTCTGCTGTGGTTGCAGAGGCTGAGGGACTTGCACGTTATTCATACTACCGATACCACCCATGTTCGTCATGCCAGTAGTTTGGGGCTGCAATCCTGGCATACCTGTTCGCTGGGGTTCAAGAGCTGGAGGCAGGTAGCTGTTGATGCCTCCTGTAGGTACTCCATACATCGACTGCGTGGTGGGGAAGGGCGGTTGAAAACCTGTGGGTTGAGCCTGCATTGGGACGAACTGATTCGGTCCCTGCATTCCAGTCATCATGGGCTGCATGAACTGTCCTGCGCCAGTGGGGAAAGACATCAAGCCAGGGCCTTGTTGTCCTGGGAATCCAGTCATATTGGGCTGCATTTGCTGAGGGGCTTGCTGTTGCTGCATCTGAGCCGTATATTGCTGTTGCAGGCGGGCTTGTGTGATCTCGCTCAGGCTCTGGCCAGGAGGCGCAACTTGGCCTTGCAGAGCACCTGTCATCTGCGGCATCATGGGTGGAGGTGCAAAGCCGCTGGGCTGGGCTGATTGCGGCGCTGAAAGTGGTCGCTGAGGTGGTGGAGGGACGAGAGAGCCCTGGTTCGCAGTACCCTGTGGGGGAGTAGGACGTTGCCGAGCCTGAGCAACAGATGTAAAGAATGAGGGGGTAGCGCCGCCCAACGGTTGCGATACGGGTGTCGAGGTTGGCTGAGCAGCGATGACAGGCGCCGGTGCCGGGGCGGGTGCTGGTTCAGCCCTGGTGGGTTCGAGAGGCGTTGAGAGCAGCGATAACTCTTGCATCGAGCCAGTCAGGGCCGGGGGAGGAGGTGAGACAGGAGCGGGCTCAGGGGCAGGCTTCTGAATAGACTCAACAGCAGGCTGAGCTTTAGGCGGCGATTGCTGCTTGCTAGGCTTCACGTCCCAAGCATCGTCGTCGAATCCAGAGCTCGATGCTTGACGAGGTTCGGGGCTCTTATTTATAGGACTTGTGGGTGGGGGTGATCTGCTGTCGTTTTCCCCAGTCTTGGAGGACTCGCCTCGCGAAAAGGCACTGGCATCAACAACATCACTTGTTTGGACCGCTGGCGCGGGTCGACCCTTTCGGGTGTTGTTTCGTAGCGCACCGCCGGGTCCAGAGAATAGACCCCCTTCACCATCAACTCCATCAGCGGTTCCTCTCTTTCCACCGCGGCTGCGGCCATATTTGGCATCCAAGGTACGCATGACCTTGATGATATCACCCTCGCGAATTCCAAGGGCTCTCAGAGTGGTGGCATCCACATCAGGAAGCACGCTCTCATCCATGGAATCCTTGATAAAGGCTTGTGCGTAGCGCTCACACAACCCCACTGCAACCTCGCAAGACAAGAAGAACTGAAACCAATCGTAGTCGGATTTGGCATCCTTGTCGACCGTTGCGCCTGCTGAAGTACTACGTTCAGGGGATTTCTTTTCGGCAGACCGAGCTCTCTTGACGTCCGCCAACGGCTTATCATCTTCAAGGGATATGCCTGTGAAGTTTTCAACATACTCGAGATCCTCGCGCGACATTTTTGTGATAGGAACTGCAATCTTGACACCATTCATCTTATGTAAGTGAATCTTTCCGTCCTTCAGACCAAGAAATTGGGCTTCCACACTGAAAGACCGGGAACGGTCTGTCCAGGTGCGCACCTTGGACGCGTCAGGTTCTATGAAAGGCATGTCAGCAGATGCCCTAAGTCCCATCGCATACATCTAAGTGAAAAGAGCAATCTGATGAAGTGATAACTTACTAGACTTTGATCGGCTTTGACTGCCGCCATCACTTCGTCCATTTTCTCGACGGCTCCGCTGTTGTCCCGAATTATTACCAGTTTCTCGTGCCATGAGGCTACTGCCTCGTTCAGGGAGAGGCATTCCCGGTCCTACCTGCTGAGGTTCTTTGCCGGCCTTCATGGCTTCCTTGGTCAATCGGATCTCTTCGAGGCGGTTTTGTTCGACGAGGGACTTGGCCGAGTTTATGCCGCTAGACGAGGGTAGTGAGATAGAGCCAGTGATCTCAATATAGCTGCTAGGGACGACTCCTTCTTTACCATTCTTGAGCCGGCGAACTTGCCACCACTCCTCGCTCTTCGTATCGTCGATAACAAGCACCTCGTCTCCCACAGCAACAGTTACCTCGTCGTCGCCTTGTGCCATGAAGTCATACAGGACTTGGCCTTTTTTCTGGCCACCGCCACTGCTGCCTTGTGTCCCAGCCATGATCACCTCACGGAGTCCTTCGGCACGTACAGCTCCAGCCAATTCGCCCAACATACTGACGATCTCCTCGGCTGTGTCCTTTGCTCCGGCGTGGAAGTCGACGCTCTTGCTTGGGCGCACAAGTTCCATGAAAACGTGTTTTCCCTCCCGCGAGTAATGCGTCATGCGGTCAGCGGTCCATTCCTGTGAAGGTCCATCAGAAGCATGCTCTGGAGCAACCAGTATGATACCTGTTAAAAGATTAATTCCTAATGTTGTTGGCATCTTCTTCTTCTTGCCCATGATGGAAATCATCTCGTTGATGTTATACATATGAAAGCCGCCAGGAGTACGCTCGACATCTTGGCGACGATCCGGGTCCCTGTGGTCTTGCAAACTACGGGTGTGTATAGGGGAGGGGGGTTCGTCATAAGTTGGAGATGGTGGCGCTGGTACCCTTGGTCGGGCTGGCAGAGTCGGTGATCGTACGGGATCGTCCTCGACTTCGGGGGGTTCGCTAAACGTAACAGACGCACGAGGGGGCTGTCGAGGAGCCGCAGGTTGCTGAGATTGTTGAGAAACTGAGCGGCCATGCATGACACCTGCGATAGCAGCAGCAGGGTTCGAAGGAGTAGGCGCTGTGTCATTCGGTAGGTCCGGAGATGCCACCTCTGGTTCGGGGGAGGAGATTGAGGGAGCCTGTGGTGGTCTTGAAGGTAGCGCGGGCGGCGGAGACGGCAGCGGCGGCTGAGCAGACTCAGCAGGCGCGCCCATTTCGATGTAGTTGGAAGGGACAAAGCCATATTCGCCGTCAAGGCCAGTCAGGATCCAGTCAGGGTCCGACGTGTCGTAGACAGCAAGTGTAGCATCCTCGTGAAATGACAATTCTTCGTCCGTCTGGCGCGTGTAATCGAATAGAGCTCTAGCATGGTCTACTGGCTGGGCCTTTTAAATTCAGAAACGAAGCTTTAGTACCCGTGCTGTGATGGTGCTGTGGTTGTTTGGCGTCAACTTACCTCCTCGACATAATTACCAGGAATAAGGCCTGTTGGCTCTTCCTCGTCATCAGCGCCGGCCTTCTTCTTTGCCTTCCACCAGCCATCGTCGCCGTTTTTATCAAGGATGAAGAGCAAGTCTCCATCCTTTATTGCGAGCTCTCCCTCAGCTTGGGGCACGTAGTCGTAGAGAGCCCGGTAGACACCCAGGAACCCCATGTCGAAGGTCTTGATTCGGCTCAATCGGTTGCACCGCGCGAGTACGTCTCTTCAGCAAGAAACCTCTGTTGAATTAAGTATGGAGAATTGAAGGGGCTGGCTAGAAGTAAGACTCTACAATGCGATGCGATGCGATGCGATGCGAAGTGACGCAGTGCGTCGTTTGTCTGAGGAGCAAATCAATGGGTTACCTTGGTAAGGCAGGTATGGACCGATCCGACGTACCGTACCTTCCCCCTACCAAGTTCATTAACCAGAATCTCTGATTGCGGTATAACGTGGGGGTGTAGAATATGATCCACTATGTGTTAATTCGTTCGTAGGTGGGTTGGGTCGCCAGAAGCGGAGCATTGCCGGTGCATATTGTGCGTCACCCCTTTATCTGGCGCAGGTTGGGCTCTAAAGTAACGTCAGCTCAAAGCTAAGCACTGCACTTAGCAGGTAAAGCTACCCTGTATTATATACATGGGCCGAGATAGGCCATGAGCTTCACTTACCCCAGCTGCCAGATTATAGAAGATGGGAAGTTTGTAAGAACAATCAACGATGATGAGCGATATCTTTTTAGGTCTCCAGGATTTTTATGTTTTTCTCGGCCAGAGGTTGAAGCTCATTGGTCATCTACCACTCGCTGCCAAAAAAAAGGAGTGAACTAGGAGTGAACGAAATCCAGTCACCAAAGAGAACCTTGTTGATTATTTAGATACCTAATACTTTATATCTTTGTTATCACATAAGTTTCCCTAGATCATGCCGAAGGGAGAGCAAATAGTCGATTACTCAATCCTAGTACGCCATTGTCTATCCACACCTGTCGGGTGTCCAATTGTTCATCCATTCCAATACCTAAAGCAATTCTATTCACGGTGTTCAAACGGTTACACATCTAAGTACACGGCCGAGACTAGCAAGGATCAGGTTTCGGGGCCGAAAATATCGTCTTCAGTGTCACGGCCGTCATTAACTTGAGCAAGATTCCGATGGCTACCTGTGCGGTGTCCACGAGTAAAAATGCCTGGGAACATTCTCGGATCGGTTCCAGAGAGATGATGGTCTGACATAGGATCGCTGGACCATGCTTGATCTCGGCCGGCCGACAGACCAACTTGGGATGCGACCTTTGCAATGTGATGGCCAACCGGTGAAGACGTCTCGACATTGCCAGTCTCATTGCCCGTTGCGACCCCCAAGCCAGCGGTTTGGCCAGCCAGGGACGTTACTGACTCTGACATCTTGCTTTCATTGCCAGGAGCTTGCGCAGGAGGCTCATTCGCAGCATTGTAAGTGACATATTTCGACAGCCTGGGAACAATCGTGTTAGCATAAATGATCGATCATACGGAAATTGCCAGTCGCTTACACGTCTCTCTCCTGCATCAAGGTGAAGTAACGGAACTCTTCCCTTCGATCAGGAACATTTGTCTTAACCATGGCGTTTCCTTCCTTTCCTGGCTTATTGCAGCCACGCCCTAACCAATGCTCCTTGATGGACAACTCGTAACCACTTTGTTTAACAGAGTTCTTGGCGAGCTCACACATGTCAACTGAGTTCAGCTTGTAAATCTGTGCCGCAACCGCATACTCCTCGATTAATGGCTCTTTGGTGAACGCAAACTGCAGAGGATCGTCCGTAGATAGTGAGACATTGAGACCTCTCTTGAAGTACTGGTGGAAGGGGTTCCGCTCATAGGCAAGGAACAGGGCATTGTTACTCAGCGGTGACATGGCGATGCCGATCTGGTCCAGATAAAAGACATACTGAAGAAGGGGGACCTTTCGTAGGAGCAATCCGTGGCTGATGCTATGACAGCACAAGGCGGCAACAGCTAAGTGCTCGCTGTCACCAGCTTCTCCGCAATGGGGTCGCAGGACCAGCGTGTTGAAACCACGCTTCTTACGCCAGTAATTCAACGACACTAGGTTAGAGTAGAGATAGTAAATCCAGTAACTATATGGCGGGTTCTGTTTGGTATCCCAGACTTTTGGCACAGGGAACTTCTTGAACAGCCGACGCTCGACTTTACTCTCGTCGTCAACACTGTCGAAACCAATCACTCGCTGAAGGAAGATATGCAGCTTGGGATGGCTTGATGGGTCCTTGGTGACTTCAAAGAGTGGCTGAAACACATTTTTGACCACCTGTTCAAACGTCTCCATGAGACCACTTGCTTTGTAGACGTCGTAGAGGCGAGGGATCTGGATGAGCCAGCGGACATTGTGCGAAAACAGCTTGTTATCAACCACCCAAGCGGCAAGCTTGTCCCACTCATCAATCGATTTGCCATAAATGGAGATGCGCCACTCAACCATTTGATACTTGCTTGACTCAAGATCAGATATGACTTCTTTGGTAATTTCGGCAAGGTACCGGCCATGGATGAAGTTATCTGTCTTGAGAAAGATGGTTCGAAGGCGGGACTCTCCGACTGGATTGTACTTGAGGTTAAATTTGTCAAAGCGATGGAACGAATCCGTATGAGCCTACAGCAGTTAGTAACTCAATTCTCTGAATGCAATATCGAGTTCAAAGAGCAAGCCTTACATGCATGTCCAGTGTATCAATGCTCAGGTCATAGGCTGTCAGATTAATACTAGCAAAGACCTCGGCTAGGGTGAGATGTCTTCCATCGCGAAACAGTACGACTTCGTTGGGAAATTTCTTCATCTTACTCTTAATGAAGCGAAGCAGATGTTTCTGGTTCATGCACGCAGAATGATGAACGTGGGTATCTACCTTTCGAACATTGTAAAAGTCTCGGTGGGGAACCTTCTTGCTGTCGGCTGTTTCTTGATACTCATTCAAGAGGACATATAAGTTGAATTTACCCTCGAGATATTGGAGGCGTCGAAATGCAAAACTCTTACTAGGCCCGTCAGATGAGACGTCCAGAATGTCGTCCAAGTCCATGTAGAATTCTCTGATTGTAGGAACCTTGATCGCAGGCGTCTGAGTATCGTGACCTTCAAAAACTTGATAGACTCCGCTATCGTCCAACTTGTATGAGCGTCCATCAGCGCCCGGCAGAGGCAATATGTCGGCCATATCAAAATCCTCTCCAATATCTTGACCTGGCTTTCGCCTTCTTGCATAGCGTCTACCTTCATGCTGCTCCTGGGGCAACTCTCCTGGTATGGACCCAGTAGCATCCTTACTACCGTTCAAGCCAGTATTCTCTTGACCTGGTACGTGCTCTGTAGTACTTGCTCTTTGCCTCGACGATTGCTGCCATGCCGGCTCTGGTGGAGGGGGATAAATTTCCCAGTCCGGGCCGTCTCTTGGATTATCATCAGGCCCCTGATTCGAGAGGGCGATATATTTGCGCCTGGTGTCGAGGATTCTCTGAATGTTTTTCGAGATAGCACTCAATTCTGAAGTGATATGGGGCTCAGTGTCGAAGAGTCCACCAGAGGGCAGGCCATTGCTGGAGCCATCAGGTAGCCGTGGATCCTGGGCAACCTGGCCAGCATGAGGAAGGGCAGAAGGATGACTAGGTGGGAATGGGGCAGGTTGCGCATCGAGTTTTGTAGGTGATTGAGTAAATCCCGAGTCAACGGCAGGGTTTGGCATCTCCAAACCAGGAGGGAAAGAATCGACTCGACGACCACTCGAGTCTAGCACAAGACTATCGGCACCATATTCGGTTGCAGGGCGAGACCCAGAAGCAAGGAAAGGACTTTGCGGTATAGATTGGTAGCCAGCCCCACCACCGCTGCGTGCATCGGCCTTGTTTCGGTGGTAGAAGTATTTTGCGTCCGTCTGGCTCATTTGACGCTCAGCGACAGGATCGTAAAAAGTAGTTCTCTTGGGCAAGTCGCGGAGAAGCATCCCATCTTCGAGCTCCTCAGCTTCGTTGCCGGTGTGGGAGCCAGCGTCAGAGGGGGCATTGTGCGAGGCGCCATGTCCGGTTGCACCAGAATCTCTAGTCTCGTCTATCTCCTCATCTGACTCCCGTGCCCGCACATCAAGAGCGCTTGATTCGCTTTCCTCGAAGATAGGGCCGCCTGTGGCATATTCTCGGTCAGAAAAGTTTCCAATTGCTGTCGTTATCGTCGAGAACCAAAGCAGGGTTCGTGATATTGGGTCTGGCGCAGAGGAGGAGAGGCAGGGCGAGCTGTGGAATACGTACCAGTCATGGCGATGCCTTGATCTGAATACGATTTAGCTAGCAGATCAAGTTCCCTCGATTTTGTAACTCCTCCCTCGGGTGATGGCTTTGGGGATGGTAATTGATTCGATTCTAATTCTCGAGAGGACGTTTGAAAGAGGAGAGCACTAGGAAGTGTGCCTACAATAAGAGAGGCAAAGACAGAGCGAACCCCCCAAGGAAAGGTATGACGGTGTGACACACCAGGGTTTATAGCGGGCCATAGCGGGAAAATGCGTCGGTGCAATGCACGCCGTAGGCAAGGCGGGGGGTTAGAGGTCCCATCTAAACTCATTGAGGCATCTACTCGGTATTGAGTTAAAGCTCCACATGATAGTTGCTCCTTGGAAAGTCTCCCTTACCGGATGAAGGAGGTGTTGTGCGCCTGTTTCAAGACAGTAGTGGTTTTTCTCCATATCAGATATGCATATAAATCTCCTCAAAGCAGAATATTCTTCGAGATAGGGCTCCGCAGAACCGGCAACCGCCGTTCTCCTACAAGACAGGGGTCTCAACTTAAAGTACCAACCTTGGCTCAATATCCAACTACCTTACTAAGGGATATAAAGCCTCGATTCTGGAAGAGCTGCAGTCACCAGATCTCATCGTTGAATTCTCGCCGATTGAGATCCGCAAGTCATGACTTTTCCCATCAAAGGCATGGTATCAAGATGCAGATGGGGCTCGGCATCTTACGAGGAATATAGATGCCATTAAGCATTAGATAGGCAACGTACTCCCGCAGTCTTTCAGAGCACAGTGAGACACTAAATTCGAATCATAGGCTCGATCACGGCTGGCTTACCAAGTGCCGCGAATACGCTGAAGAATCAATCACCTTAACTCTGCCATAAAAGTTAGTAAGTAAAGAATATTAGGAACCAAAGTCACCGCCAGCTCCACTAAATTCGGAAACACGGGTCCTCTGCCGCGTTACATGGTCCGTTGCTGCAACCGTAGTATCGGGTCAAATCCCTGGTCTTGATAGAGGAGACCCCTAGACAAGGAGATTTTGAGGCAGTAAGAGTGACAGGGTAAGTGCTTTGGGCACCGGGTTTAAGCAAAGTACATCTACGCATTCATGCAAGATGAATTCGACAGTGGCTTCACTTTCCGCTTCTCATTCTTGGGATTTTCAAGCTTGATAGGGGAGTGTAAGTGAATCACTACTGCAAATGCGTATGTCATAGTTCTGATCCTACGAAGAGGTAGCTTCTCTAAACCAAAAGAAGGACGCTTTTCAGAGAAGTATATGTATCATCTAAAACTTAATGTTATTCGTGTGCTGAGTGTTGTCTCGCGACATACTCGAACGGGAAACGACATCACTCAATATCAGCCAAGTCCTCGGTCAGGCCTCAGGTGAAGGTGGAATGAAGAAACCCCATATTCTTCTACCCTTCAAGTCATGGTTATACGTTAGGCATTGGAGATTCACAGTCAGAGTCTCTCAGAGAAAAGAACCCCTGGCTCGCTGCCACCGTTTGATGCTAACCCTCATCGGACCATTCCCTTCCTTGTTAGCTCTGAAATAGTATGGAACAAAAAACAAATTCACAGACCCGGCAGTCTCTGGCGATGGTGATTCAAGTGCTGAAGGTGACTGCTTCCACCCTTTCGCTTGCATCGCAACATACTCTTAGCCGGACGCTTCATGGTCCACTTTCTCTTCAGTAACTAATGAGTCTGTCCGTATGAATACATCCTTGAAATGATTAGATTCCGAGGGGTTATCGAAATCTTCAAGGTAATAGACGATTGGCCTCGTGCGAGGGATAATTTGCTTTAATTTGAGTAGGGGTGGGGTGATACAAATATTGGCTCGAAACCATGAATGTATAGTGAGAACCGAGATTTTTCAGAGAGTTAGGAAGGCCGTAGAGATAGATGTATAACCCTCCTCAACATTTGAGGCGGCACAAGTTCGCTGGTGGGTACAATGTAAATCTTCCTTTGAACCAAGCAGGCAAGCGAAGCCGGATGGCGGTCTGCAAAAATGATGTAGACGATTACTTGAAGTCGACCTTGCCTTCCCGTGGCCAGTCGGTCTTCTGCCGGAGTGTGATAGTTGAGTAGCCCGCCTTGAATTGTAACTCGGCACTGGTGTGTAAGTGGAAATTCACAAAGACGCCTTTGACATCATTACCATAATCCCAAAGATAGCTGCCCAAACTGCCGAATAGTCCCATCAAGGTTTGGAGGGCAACAAGCGCACCAGAACCACCTCTCACGCACGTTTTTGTCAGTTTCAGAGCTGGCAAGTTGGTCGATGTAAGTGAAGGATTTGCCATCCAAACTCATGGCCGTCATGATAGTGTTATAAAGACATATCTCGACAAATTCGGCGCATCGAGAATCGAGATCAAGGTGTAACATTCGTTGCGCGAGCGTGAGGAAAGCAATCGAAGCGCATGTCTCAGCATAGCAGCCTCCTTCATCCGTTCCTTGAGGGAGGAGGTAGTCAATTCCAAAGCCCTCCCGCTGTGCCATAACACTGATGCCTCCAGTCAAGTACATCTCTCTATCAACCATGCTGTCCCACAGCTTATGCAGTGCCTGTGACCATGCTTGGACATTAGGTAAACCCTTCCACTCTCTGCGGAGAGATGCAACATGCCAGCAACAGTAATTAAAAGGTTTCCAGCTCTGAGAGCGTGTATTTAAGTTGTGTTTTGTGCTGTGATTGGAACACAAGCTTGGCTATACCAATAAGCCGTCGATTGAGGATATGAGTTCTACCGCAGCCACACGCTTTCGCCTCTCTTCTCTCTTTCCCAGCCGTAGAAGTGTTTCCCTTCATTTCCATCAGTATTCCCTCATTCCATCAGAAAATACTGTGCCAGGTCGAACTCTCGTATTACCTGTAGCAGCGTGCAGTCGAAAAAGCGATAGCTCGATTTCAGTCTGACCAGGATAGCCTTTTAACTGGCCTTCTTCGTGGCCAAAATGGCTCCATGATGAGAGATACATACTTCTTAATAGGCTTGAGAAGTAAATTATTCTTATAGTATTCCTTATGAGCAATTACGGCCTCTAAGAGATGGCCGGTATTGTATCTGCGTCGCCAAGTCAGCTCCCTGAAAGTAACCGGACCTGTTTGACGACCTACAATTCATTCATATCCCGGATTTTGGCCCATCTCTTTGCCGGTTCGACCACAATATAATGAACGTTCAGGTAGTCGTCTTGCTGCTGAGCTGAGCTGATCATGTCCACAAGTTCGCGGACACTCTGATCAACATCCTAGTCATACTCAACTGAATCAGCTAGAAAGCATCAAGCCCCCTCAATCCATTTAGCGATATCACTGTTCATGAATAAGTGGTATGGATCGGGCCACATGGACTTGCCGTCGTAGATAGGTCGCAGCTGACCGAGTTGGGTACGAACTGTAGTGCGCGAAACAGTCTTTCGTCGTCTTGCTAGAGTGGATTCCCCCTTAGAGGTTGTCTGCTGAGAGCCAGTTTGTGGATGCGACATGCCGGGAAAATAAGTCTGGGTGATAGCAGATGAGTCTGAGATCCAGGCTCCTGCTGGTGTCGATAATCGTTGCCATGAGTTTGTAAGTGTGTGAGTGGTATATAACCTGTAGGGGGCGGCGTTGACTACGGGACGTATCTGAATATTGTTCCCCGCGTTGGTGTTGGAGACCAGAATGATATGCGTTCGAATGACAACCTTGAAGATGCGTGGGCCTGACCAACATCTCATTCCGTCCAAGTTGCTTCCGGTGTCCCATTCAAAGGATGTCGTCGGTATTTTGTGTGGTATACGGATTCCTCCTTACGAGCACTACAGGCACTTGATATTAACACAACTATGGTAAATTCACACGGTCTATGAAAATGGCATTCTCAATTGTCTAGTCTGTATAAGCCCTTTAGCTTTTGGTATTCGTTAGTATATAAGATTCACCATAACGCCGACATGGCAGCATTGGACAAGACGTCCGTCTACACTGAGATCGTCTCTCGTGATATGCAAGGTCGCCCTAAACCATCAACGCCGTCTACAATTCGTTGAGCTTCGCGTAAACCCTTTATACCGAAAATAGGCAACATGCTCCTCAGCTTCCTTTGTTGTCCCTGGTAGAAACTCCTTTCTCTGCCGATGTCTTCTTTCTCGAACCCACTGAGTATAGCCCGCCGGCACTGAAAACAATAATAGCACCGAGGAGTGTACCAGGAGCTAGCTTGTTGCCAAATAGCCAAATGCTTAGAAGTAGGCTGACGAGCTTTCGGATGTTGAGGACGATGGTGACGGTGAGAGCCGTTGACGCAGCGGCCAGAAGGTTGACCCCCCGGATACAAGCATATTGAGTAAGAACATTGGTAATAAGGAATAGAATCTGACTGGGAATCTGGAACTTAGTGGTCGCCGAGCCGAAAACGCCTGGTAACTGTAGCGGGGTGCTCGTCATAAGATGAGTAAGAGTTCGTGCCATTGAAGGAGCAAAGGGCAGGAACAGAGGCAGAGAGAGGGCATGCGAGTAGAAAAGGTTTTCCTTCCACTGAGGGCCGTATTTGGCGTATGTTGCCTCCGTGTAAAGCCCCATGATGGCCGAAAGAAGCTGAGCCACGAAGAGGATCACTAGTCCAGTGCTGAAGGCCGGACGACCACTGCTTTCACTCGTACCCTATAGCCAAGATTCATTATTAGCGTATGCCTAGCAGAGCTCATAGAAGGAATGTCTACCTTGGCTTGAGCATCCGACCATGCAGCCAAGATGACGCCGAGTGTCAAGAGGACGACGGCAACAACTTGCATCTGAGAATACCTCTTGCCATATAGATAGCCTGCGGCCATGGTTGTGATACTTCCACCAGATCGAAGGATGATATGAACTGGAACGGAAATATCATAACTGAAGGCGTGGTTGTTGAGAACATTGATGGTGAAGAAGAGAACAATGTTGAATATCCAACGGCTGATGGGAACCTTGTTAGGTGTAAGGAAGAAACGACTGTTCTTATCAAACTGAGCGACGAATCCTGTCACAGCGACGAAGAGAAATTGGACAAACGTCAAGAGAGTTCCTGTAATGAAAAGAATGCGTCAGTAGGTCATGGGGCCGCGGACGATTTTCATACCACTTGATGGTTCAAAGCTATAGAAATAACTCATCAGTCTCATAGCACAGTATGGATGATTATACACATGGGAAACTCACTTGACGATAGCTTCAAGAGCATAAACCTAAAGCCAGGATGGGTTGGGTCAGTCCATATGGCCATGTAAGACAATTGGTAGCGGGGGGCAGGAAATGACAACGTACATTTGAACAGCATCCTCCAAAGATCAAGCTTAACATGACACCGACTGTCAGTAATGAAGGCCCGACCTCGTAAGCCACCAGATTGGCAATGTTCTGCACTACTGATGACCTCGATCCTTGCTCCAGGTCATTAACAGGAGCGCCGTGAGAGGCGCTGCCACGACGGACCGAGCTCTCGAGGACCGTCATGTTGGGGGCTGCTGTCCTCTTGCGGAGGATGTGGGAAGGTATTTCGGTCGCCATCTCTGTGGGATGGGAGGTGTAAATAGTAAAAAAAAAGGGAGTGACGGGTGGTATCCCTCAACAAAGAGCTCTGCTGACAAAAAGCGGCTGGGCCGATTTATCGGTGTTGCCCTTGTGTCTTGCTTGTCCTCCAGGTAATGAATGCAGAAGAGCCAAGATGAGACGGGGGCCGAGGGACACCCAGACTCCTCGATTAGTAGGTAAGGCTGGGCGTTGACCCGCACCAGGCCAGCGGTACCACGGTACCTGCATACTCACCAAGATTTCATTGGACCAAACCGTACTGGGTACACGGAAAGAGTTAGTGCTAGCTGGACAGCCCTATCTCGTCTCAAGTAACTTGAATTCAACCAGAGACCATCCATCGCAGGTAGGTACTACGTGATGGAACATTGCTGCATTAGAGTTCATGGCAGCTCGAAAGCCTTAGAGATTGGCTATGGAGCTTACATAGGCCTGCGTCGCGATACAAATACAAATGGCGGATTGGCCAATAAGTGACCAAGCAATCAACTACTTGTGTTCTTCTCAGAGGCGTTGAATGCGGCCCCTGCATCTAAACTTACCATTACCCATCATCAGTCTCCCTCGAGACTCCACTGACTCGGATGGCGGGCGAATAGCCATCCATAATTTCAACTGGCTTCTTCTCAGGCATGAGTGGCATTTCTTTGATTCTCAATAGTCTCTTTGTGGTTTCAGCTACACGTGGCGACCAAACGCCAGCCAATGCATCCGTTCACCTCCCTCCCATGTGGCTCGTCCCGCTGGTTCATTCGCTTGCTTCATAGACAGATAGCCAGTAGCTCTCTATCGCCAGTCTCTTCAACGGCCACATCCAAAGGGCCTCTTCCAGCTTTCTTCCTTCTCTCCGCATAGCATTCATTCCAAGCACTATCGATGATACGTGCTATCGCTTCTAAGTATAGTAGGTCGTGTTGTTCCGTATTATCGTTTCCTACACCATCGAGATATGACGTCTTGCCCAAGAAGAACTGGGCAGATCCCACCATGACGGAGGCTGAAGTACTTATACTCTTGCTGTTGCGACTTCGACTTCAAGCCAGGGACTAGGTCGCTTAACTGCCGTACGAGATGAACGCCGTTACCATGGTCTAGAGTGCCGAGAAGACAAAGAGCTGTGCCCGCACGTTAGCCATGGTTGACATACAAAGGTGTGCTTCAGTTTTACTTACATTGTTCGTAGCTGCAATCGCAATACTGTCCTCGAAGGGATGCCAACTCATATGCAGGATCTTCTTGTTGAAATCGATCTGGTCCGCGTCTGTCTCCTTACGCATTCGCTGGCCCTGACCGCCTGGACTACCAGCCCTAGATCCACCCTTCTTGCCATTGGTGGCTGTTGGGCTTGTCGAAGCGTTGATTGGTGTGGGCACACCAACCTTCTTCGCCTTGAAAGCCGACTTGTCCGCCTGAAGGACCACCTCGACCTCCTTGTCAGGGTCTGAAGGATAGATCATGAAATTGTTGTTATAACTGCCTGTCATAACGTTCTTCGCATCACCAGAGAAGACAACTTCAAACTTGTCGAATATACTATCGTTCTCGTATGTGTCACACAATCGTGGCCGGAGATGCTCGTGGATCGGTATCGTCTTTACAGGCTGTCGCTCCATGTTGATATCCCAAATCTTTACAGTTAGGTAATCGCGAGATAAGATGTATCGGCCGTCATGTGAGAACCGGACGTCGGAGATAGAGGAGATGATTTCGGAAAAGAAGGATCGCGACGAGGGGTCTTCTTCCTGCTCGAATACTACGAGTAGTCAGCATGCTTGCAATTATACAAGAAATTCAGGTGCACAAACGTTTCGCGTGCTGGTCGCATAGAGCACTCTCTCGCATGTCAGCAAGCTTGATGGTACCCTTAGAGCTGGCATACATGAACCAGTTGCAGCTCATGGGGTGGAATTCGGCTGCTGTGATCACTTCAGTAAGTTCCTCCATATTGGCAGGCTTGATGTCGACGATGTTGAAGCTTTGGTCCTGAATATTGAGGTTCCAGAGGTTGATCCGCAAATCATCGCTGCTGATGAAGGTCTCTCCGTCACTGTTCACCGAGATGCTGTTGATATGATAGGCATGTGCGTTGGCGTATGTCCGGCGTGGCACGGCGGCAACCACTGTGTCATGATGTGTGAGCCGAGGCAGCTTTAGGTCGGCGGCGTTCTTAAACTGATGAGACGGTAAAGGCTTGGGAGCGCCGCCACCACCTGCAATGCTCCCAGGAGTTACATCGTGAGAGAGATTGTTCTCCGCCACAACCTTGAGCGACTTCTCAAACACCTTCCATAGCTTGATTGTCTTGTCATTGGTAGACAACAGATAGTGTGAAGCGTTTTGTCGCCTGCACCACTTTATCTTGTTGATCTTTTCCTCGATCTCGAGGGACTTCAAATAGTCGAATTCGGGCTCATGCGACTGAAACTCGGTGTGAAACTTGTACTCGCAGGTTTTTTTCTGCATCAATGGTCAGCGGCGACAATAGATAGTGCAGCACCAAAGCTAAGCCGCACGCAAAAACATTCGGGGTGACGTACCGTCTCATTGCGTTCGAAGAGCACTACTCTACCTCCCTTGTCGCCAGTAGCGAGATAGTTTCCGGTATGGTCGAACTCAACCGTCGAGATGATATCAGCTGTATCAGAGCGTGGCAGTTAGTAACCATGATGGACAACTGGCTCTGAGGTAGGCAGAGGGTGGTGACATACCTTCGGTGATGTCCTCAACATCGCCCTTGTCACCAAAACACCTGCACACGACAGCTCAGCTTCACCTTCAAAAACGCGAGAGGAGCCCAATAAGGGATCAGGAGAGATTACGTACTGCGTGAACTTCCACGTGGGCGAATTCGTCTCGCTATCAACCATCTTGGTGAGCGGCGAGGGCGGGGGTCAGGAGGGGTTGTGGTTGTTGATCGAGGGAGGCAAAGGTCAGAATCGATAGCTGTGGGTTCGAATGGCGGGGCCAAGGCGGAGGTGAGGATTAATCGGAGCCGAGAACTTGGAAACAGCGGAAGTAGTTGAAGTTGACGAGTCGAGGCGACACGAAGGGAGATGGATGGATGATGGAAGCTACAACAGCACACGTCTGATCTGGTGTTGCGGTGGTTGTTGGATAGCGTAAGGTAAGGTGGTGAGTGGATGGGCGGTGGTGTCGTTTCTGGATATCG